TAAAGTTTCAGAGCAGGAATTGGTAACCAAATACTGAAATGAAAAATAATTAAAGGATAGTATGGATGCAAGATCAGATTGGATTTCAGCAACGAAGTGTAATGAATATTGCTCTACAAATAGCTCTTGACAACACTATTGGATTGCACGGTCTTCCAAGGAAGTGCAGATTATACTATATGCTGGAAGTGCACTTGGTGATGCATCAATCCCAAACTAGTACAGATCTTGACTTTCTCTCCATATAGTTTTGTTACCCATAAGATTAAGCTGATTCTTTATAGCCTCTATAACACTTAGTAAAAATATTTGCGTTATCTTAATTTTAAGTCCAACTCATCTGAATAAAATAACATGTGTCAATTTGTCAAAGATTACCAGATGAAATATTGATACCACTTGTGAATAGTGAAGTAAATTGCTATTAACGAGCAAACATCAACTAACACTTGGCGTAATCTCACAACCTTCACTTACACCCATACTAAGGTATTTAGCCTAGCATGACTTAATGTAAGTGCTTAAAAGTAAATGACATAAATGAAAATGACCGAATGTAAATGACGTAAAAGTAAATTTAGCAAGAAAAGTAAAGAAAGCTAGAAAGATTACTGTAGCAACTGACAGTAACGAAAAACACTTAAAAGTATTTGCAAATTAATAATAAAAAGTAATAAGGAACCAAAGCTTTATGAAGCTTCGTTCCTAATGATAATTGTTTCCAAAGGTTACACACCAATTTGTTCAAAAGATTACCCTCATATATATACCATCATGAAGGAATCAAAAAGTACAAAAGGGTAATACCATTGGTTATTAACCAATGGGTAAAAGAAAGATGTTTTTAATACAAGATGCTTTAGTACAAAAGGTTGAGTCATCTTGTAGGAGCATCATCCATTTAAATCGTTTGCCAGTAGTACTAGGAGATGCTTTTCTTCGAAACTTTGACTTTTCAAATTATTCAACGAGATTGAGCCAGTTGTGCCAATATCCAGCGTCCAGTGTTGCAGCAACGTATGCATCTGCTACATCAATGCTTATGTCAACATTATACTCAAGAAACTCATAAGACATTATTATTCCTGCATCCTAGCTCCACTAAATGTAAAACCATAAAATAAGACTAGAAGACTCGATATAAGATTGAGAAAGGTTAAAATGAAGTGAAATACATACATAATTGGGTGCTAAAGTGTATGCTTTTGCACATTTATCACCTAGAAATCACGAAAACCCTTGCGAAGAGGATGAACACTTGGATCTTGAAGTCTAGTCTTGAATCCCTAGTTTGGATGATGATTAAACCTTCTTAAATGCTTGAGAGAGTGAAGTAAATGCTCAAGAAAACAAATTTTATAAGGAGAGTGATGAGAGGAGAAAATGAGGAAGTGGTAGATGAGAAAATGGATTGAGAAGTCTAGAAAATGACAAGTTTATACCACTCTGCCCTTTTTGGGCTATCCAGACATGCAACATTGAAACTATCACTATCACCTTATCTGGTTGCTTTTGTGCGATCTTGACAGCTATAGTGATACTTGTCACAATCGTCGGGCACTATCGCCCGACTTATATTGAGAGTGATTTCTCAACTTCCTTTCTTCACCTCATTTTCTCCTAAAGTAGATACCCAATTTTTCCACAATTGAAACCTTAAAGCTAAAACCATAAAAGCAAGTAAGGTACAAAAAAGCCTTAGAATTTAGTTACCAAAATTTATGGGTGTTACACACCAACTCTCATCCTGGTGTTGGCACATGCTTGCATGTCAGACAAAGTAAGTTTTAAAATCCTATTTTATTAGTATCATACTCTCTTTATTGTTCCCTCTGGATACAGAATGATGGGTTAGGTTAACAAATATTTACATCAACTTCAAAGGCTGAAATGAGGAGTACAAAACATGCACTGATCAATAAATTAGATAAATACACACGCTAAATTTAGTGGAGGCTATCCTTGTCATTTATTGCAACTCACCTGTTTTGAAAGGAATTTTGAGTGATTGTTTCTTAGGCAAAATCGATGTCAACCATCTAAAGGACTATCTTAGTACTTCAGATCTGAAAAAGTACTTTCTTCCCTCACTCTTTCAGTTGTTAGCAAAAATTTCACCAGTTAGATTGTTTAGGACCATGTCTTACCCTTCTAATACCACAACAACTATGTATTTCTTTGTTTTCAATAAACATACAAAATTAAAAAGTGAAATTTTTTCTATGTTCGTATTCAACCCCCTTCTACAAACAACATCTCGATACCATCGTAAACAAAATGTTAATGTGAAATAAGCGATTAACGCTAGTTGCCACAAGTCTCATGAGATTTTAAAAGGAAATTTTAGGTACGATAAGTGTGTAGATAAGAAGAAAAAAAAACCAAGAATATTATGGCTTTTGATTGTAAAATGTTAGAAGTGGGATAAACTTTTTATATTATAATTCTAGTCAAAGTTCAAAATATATTTTGATTATCAAACTAACCATTATTTTATAACTATAACATCAATATAAATATGAATATTATATCATATACATGAGCCAAAAATAGATGTCACAACTCCTTGACGAAAATGACATCATGAAAATCTACGATCCAAAAAATAACATTACAAGTATCTTAAATATATATTTTTGAACTTTAGAAGTTTACACATACAGATTTATATATATGTCCATAGAGATTTATGGACAGAAATATATATTTTTGAACTTTGTACAATGATATTAATATTGAATTAGTTTATTTTGATTTCTGATGTAATAATGTTTTTATTTGTAAAACGTGTGAAAATGTGAATACTAATAAAAGTCTAATCTATTGAATAACTCTTGTATGGTTGTCAGAGGCGGAGCTTAATAGACTTAGATTCCAAAACCAGTGTATTTTTTTTAAGTTTTTGATAATGGCCCCTCCAAACATCATCGATTCATTGATTGAGTCCTTATTTACCCATCCAACTGCATGTCCAAGCATTCCATATTTCCAATCACTTGCCTTTTCTTGATTTTCTCTGTAAGTTTTTGCCTTTGTTTTTGGGTAGTAATACCCATTTTAGTTATTACCTTTGATTGGATTATTTAATGTTTTAGATTGTGAAAATCAGAATTTGGAATGTTATCGTACCTTTAGTCAATCTCTCATGAGAGTTAATATAAATTTAAGTGGTTTTGTGATTTTTAAGATATGTATCTATTACTAGTACGGGGAGGGGGGTTGGTTTCGTGCAAGGCCCTTGCAGCAGGAAGAGGCAGTTGTGTAAAACATATTTGGACAAAAAGTTGATTAACGACGACCCTATACGAAACCTGCCTCTAAGGACACTAATGTGATGGGTCATTTTTTGGCTCACTTAATGACTTATAATACATACGTATAAAAAGATCTGGTTCGGTCTAAGAGTGTACGTTAACAATTCAAGCTTTTAACGAGCTACGCAAACTTAATAATTTTCAAAATTGAGCTGATGTCAAACATTAAAAAATAATCTCGTTTAACTTAATGAACCGAAAAACAAGTTAACTAATTTCGAGTTCGACCTTATAGATGAGCTTATATAGTTTGAATTTTATCTATTATTTTTTCAAGCCGAAAGTCAAACTATTTGCTATCGACTTAGCTCGTTTCGGTCCTCTCGATTAGAAGGCTCGTGTTCCGACTCTGACAGTTGCATGAAAACAAAGCCTATAAAATAATTGATCTGATAGTGATCATTTGTAAATTGATGGGGAGCATTATTGTTACTCAAATTGTATCAAAGTTGATGGTGATGCTTTTAAAAGAGGCTCAATTGTGTGTAATTACAAATAAGACTATGAAGGGATGGTGCACAATAGTGGCCGGAGATTAAAATATTTTTATATGGGTACTTGATAACTTGCATTTCAACATTTTTATTAATATAAATTTAACTTATAGAAAACTAAAATTATAATATAAAAAATATAAAAAAAACTAGTTGTATTAAAATGTTTTGATTATTTTATCATAAACAGTAACAAATTAATATAACTTTTTTATCCATTCATTAATTTTTTTTAATCAAAAAATAGTTTTCTAAAATAAGAAAAACAAAAGTATCAAAAAAGAAATCAAAAAATATATTTAATAAATCAAAAAAGAAAAAGAAACTAAAATACCCCTAAATTAATGGAGGAGTTTTGACATATTGGAACAAAAGTCATAATAATCTTTCTCAAACCGCATCGAGAAAAATTGTAATTTACTCGTTATAATATCTTAAATTTTAGTTCTTTAAAAACTTAGTCATAAGTTATTTTGAGAAGTGGTAAATATCGAATATGACTGGTTAAGAATTGCGGTTTTGACTTGTTAAAAATATGTGGCTATGTGAAAAATGGATGAGATAGTTTCGTAATTTTTACAAATAGACGGCAAACAGGTTTATATGTGAACTTATGTGATATTCATATATGAAACCCGTGTGATTCATATATGAACTATATATTCACATATGAATCCGTATAATTCACATATGAACCTGTGCGATTTACATATAAACTAATTAACTGATTCATATATGAATCCGTGGGTCCATATGTGAATCAGTTAAAAAGTTTACATGTGAACTAATTAGTGGGTTCATATATAAACATATAATTCGTATGCAAATTATGTAAACCCGTTTGCTACCTATTTGTAAAATTTAAAAAATTATCATTTATGTGCTTATTTGATACTTCACAATTAAAATCCTAACTATTGAGTAGATGAAAAATTAGATATCTTCTTTTGCTTTTTCAAATTGTTACCACTTTCTCAAATGAAACTTCTTCTAAAAACTTATATCCAAATTTAAATGTGAGAAAGTCATTTGGATTTTTATGGACTTTAAAAGATCATATGATTTTTTTTCAACGCACAAATCGAGTGTTGAATGAGACATTATGGGATTTGAATGAGACATTAAACAGGTGGTTATGGGAATTGAATGAGACATTTAGATTTCTTTAACATAAAATCTCATCACGAGGGAAAGAAGTTTGACGCCATAGCCATTTTCCATCGAATAGCTTGGTCGAGAAAGAAGAAAGAGATGGATAAGACGTACGCAGAGCTGAGACGAGCTGTTGAGACGACGGAGCTAGTAGATGCCCACGCTCATAACATCGTAGCACTCGATTCCACGGTTCCTTTCCTCAGTTGTTTCTCTGAAGCCTCCGGCAAGGCTTTATCCTTTGTTCCTTCTACCCTTAACTTCAAGGTCAACACTTCTCAGCTACCTCTTTCCTTTGTTTTAGTTACTGTTCATCAACCTTACCTTTGAAAACAAGGATATTGTCGGTTTGTATCTACTGTTTTCGTGGATAGCTGGAGCCATTTTTGTTTGTTCTACTTTTCTGGTATCTTCTCGAACTAAAAATCTGTTTTGTTTTTGGGTGTTGACTGGACTACTTTCGTTTTAGAAACATACTTTCTCTTTGTTTCTTCCAAGTTTGAACGTTTGCACTTATTCGGTCGAATCTCTGAATCATCCAAAAATGGGTGAATCCTGTGAGTATAATGACAAACGCACAAGGGCAACTTTAACTTTCAAAATTTGACAAAGAAAGGAAATGCTGAAAAATTTCAGTGCCTTCCAAAATGAAAATTGTTACTCTTCTGGCTACCGAAATTGCATCATTTTTTCCTTTTACAAGTTACATGAAGATTATAACGTTTGTTTTAACAATTTTTATACATATTCGAATTACCTATTTGACTACCATGATTATTACGAATATGTTGATTACTCGTTTGGTCCGAAGGACTCTTTTAATTTTTCTTTTTGGCGGGTATTGTAGATCTTGTGCATTGCTTTAGCAAGTAATCTGCTCCCAAATTAAAGAGATGCCCTTTGACATTTTCGGTGAAGCCTTGATTTCCCAAATCATTATTAATATGGAAATATTCTATGAATTTGATATTAAAATTAGTCAATTTGTTGCTACTGTTATGACCTTGAATCTTGCCATCTACCTTTTTCTTTAAAATGTAAGGAGTTCATATTGAAGCTAATGTTAAACGGTTGTCCAATTGACCTGAAAAGTCAAAACGTATCTTTATTTTTTAGCAAAGCAAATGGTAGGACACAGGCTAAGCAATTGAAATACACAAGAGAGCTTTGGGTTTGATAAATTTGCTCACAATAATTGGGTGACTTCAAGTGGTTGAATCAGAGAATGCACAACACTTTTCTATGAACTCAAGATGTTATTTGAAATTGAATTGAAAAGTTATGCTAGAACAGAGCTCTGCCTACTATTTAAGAAATTGTTAGTGAATTACTATGGTGGTAGTGGGGCTTACATCATCAACCAAATGACCAATGGATATTCGCTGCTTGTTCTGTAAAATGCAAAACAAGTGCTGGCATACATGCTAACTATAATGAGCATGTGAATGACATATTTTCCTCCTTGGTTGCTACTTTTTGTTGAACTGGAGAATTTCTTTCTTTTATCCACCCAATCTTTGTTCTGTCTACTAGTGAGAACCCATTTGACCTTGTTTCAACTTTTAACCTTGTTTAAGTTTGTATCAACTGATTTCTTAACTGCCCTTCAATTTGGATGATTAACTATAAGGTGATTTGTAGTGTTAGGTGATAGTACATAACCAAAAATAAGCTAATAGTAAGTCTCAGTACAATGTTTGCACCTATAATGAAATATTAAAATTTCGGTTTCCAAGACTGAGGTTTAGAGCAGGGAGAAACTAGGCAAGAATTGAGAGAAGGGTTCCATAGAGATATACAAAGAAACCAGAATGAGATACATTTGCAAGGAAAAGATACTGGGAACTGACTCATTTAGTACTCACCTTACTTATAAATTGAAAAAAATGATTGCCTAGTTATCATTTAGCTCAAAGAGTAACTGCTGACACAACTAAGCGAGTCTGTACAAGTGGTTGACCTCAGCATGACAAATACAGGGGTCTGTAAATAGGAATATTTCTAACAATTTTTGTCAATCGAAATAATTGAGGCTCTGTTTTGGATTTGAGTAATTCTTTGGTAATCAATTGAATCATAGTTAGTTTATAGTTTGGACAGCATGGTTAAATGCTTGATTGGATGGTTGTAAATGTTTGATACGAAAGTTGGTTGTTATTTGCAAGTATGTTGCCCATGCCTGGAATTATTATTTTGTTGGTCCAAATGATAATTGTCAGGACACTATGTAGACTCTAGGGAGGTGGCTGGAAATGATATCTCAAGAATTTCCTTCTTTGGAGTTTGGAAACAAGAAAGAGGAAGTCGATAATCTAGTGAATTGAGAGTTGTGTAGATCAATGATTTTGTGCTAAGAAGAACTGTGAATACCTCTTTGTATCAAATTGCACGACCAATCCGTCCATGAGCCAATTTTACACTCGCAGATCATAGGTTAACTGAGATCCTGGTGGAAGTACTGCTATAATTGCTGGAGGCATTATTAGTTGCCTGATCTTGTTGGTATGATGCATGGATTGACTTTTGTATATCAAATGTTTCTCTTTCACCTCGAATCCCCTCATAATACGTTTGATGTAATTCATCTCTACTTTTCTCTTTCTTTATAATGTACAGTTTCGTAGTTTCAAATTAAGAGTAATGGAAACATGAATGCTAAGCTCTAGTTTGGATACACAATAATCAACGTGAGTAAAAACATGTGGTAGTGGCATGGATTGAGGAGATAATAATGGAACTATGATCAATGTCAGTAAAAACATGTTGGATGCGTTAGTGAGGAGACACTTGTGCCTACAGGAGGGTGTCCATAGGACGTTGGTCTAGGATAGATTTTACTTTATACGATGCAATACAAAGATGTATGGCCAATTTTAAATATTTTTATCACAGTAAAATACTCATCCTTAAAGTGAAGCATGGAGGATCTATTTATGTTGAGTGGTGTACATTTAGATATGGTTTATCACAGTAAAATACTCATTCTTAAAGTGAAGTTGAAGTGCAAGATTTATGTTGAGCGGTGGTACATTTAGACTTGGTTTATCTGTTCATAATTTTGAAAGTAGGGTCTACATCCCACCCTCTAGACCCTACTTTTGAGTGGGATATAATGGGTTCATTTGGTTTGGTAATTTCTGATGAGCCTCAGTTTTTGGCCTACACCAACTATTTGTCGATCAAGGTTTCTCGTTGAATTTACAAAAATGTGCAATTTTTTTTTAGCGTGGAGCATGGACTGACAACTTTTAATTGTGTGTTGTAGAGAAGCCTGAGGGATATTGCTGAATTGTATGGCTCTGAGTCATCTCTCCAAGGAGTCCAAGAATATAGAAGTTCCTCTGGAATTGAAAAAATCAGCAACATGTGCTTCAAAGCTGCAGGAATCTCTACTTTATTAATAGATGATGGATTTATGTTAGAGAAGATGCTTAGCATTGAGCAGCATAGTGATATTGTGCCATTTGTTGGTAGAATACTGAGGATTGAGCATCTAGCGGAGGAAATCCTTGATGAAGTAAGATTGTTTTGTTCCTACCCTCTTTTTTGAATACATAACTGCATATACCAATTTTCTAGTTTCTCTTTGTTCTTTTTTTTATTGCTACCACAATAATTGTTTATCCTCCAATTGCATATGCCTATGTGTTTTGTGCACTACCTTGTAGCCTCTTCACAAACCTAATCATTCACTCAAGGATTACTTGAATCAAAATGAACTTCTCAAATTATTGCTCTCCAAATATTTATACCCCAACAACGTGGGGAGGGAGGAAATTAACTTTTGAGCTAAGTGTCATGGTTTTGTTGACCTAAATAATGAGTCTTATTGGTCACAAGATATTGTTGGACGATAATTCACTATCTTCAACAAAGCACCAAGGTCCCAAGTAAACAAGTAGTGCACAAACCCAAAAACAACACTAAGCAAATAGATTTCAAGTTTTGTCTAACTAAATACGAGCAAGGAGACAATAACCAACCCCAATCACAATGCAATTGAGATCTGTTAGAGTGATTTCCTCTTCTCCTCAATCACATGCAGAATCTTCCATTCTTCCAGTATTCCATCTTAATGAGAGAATAATGTATATAGTTTATATTAAAATAATACACTCATAGGCTGATCTAGTGGATCGTGATTGATTTATTCTTAAATGTATAGATAAAGCAAGAATGCTATATAACCATATAATTTGTGCCTCTGAATGTTCTATTTTAAGGTAAATTATATACGTTATTCTCTTATAAAGATGCGATATTGGAAGATTCTGCATGCGATTGAGGAGAGTAGGAAATCACTCAAATAAGATCTAATAAAGAACAATAAGCAACACAAGTATTTAACATGGTTCCGGAAGGGGGAAGAGAAGGTGGTTCCTATATTAATACATAAAAGCGATTATAAGGAGTTCTTGCCGATTACAAGCTTCAAATTGTAACTATTTATAACCCTAAGAACTCACTCTCTCAAGCTCTCAATTCTATTCTCTATTTTGAGGGCTTTTAACATAAGCCACACACACATAATAGAAGCCCTAGTCTGTTTTTTAACGTTGAAAATCCCGAAAGCTAGCTCGGGGGCAAGCTCGAGCTCGCACATGAGGTCGCCCAGTTCCATAATTGGGCCCTCTGACCTCGCTTTGACTTTGTGGCGATTTTGGTACCTTGTAGAAGAAATATGACACTCCATTTTGATACCAAAGCCACAAACAAACCGACGAACTACGATTATGAAGATGAGGTAGTCAACACAATGACTTAGTGCTAACGTGCTTCGGCATGGCCCTCGCTCGTCAGCACGTGAAAGCAAAACAAAATGACATACCTCTAAGCTCTTACATGAACCACGAGCACAAACCACAATTCAACTCAACCACATATGAACCTGCACAACAATCCATCCCCCCTCCTCCTCCAACCAAAATGCCATTTCGTATTTATATATGTACATATATGTATGCATGTATATACGTATACGTATGTTTGTATACACATACATATATGTAGTTATGTATGTATACACATGCATGTACATGTATAGATACATGCACATGTATGTATACCTATATTTATGTGCTTCTATAAACATATGCACATGTGTATGTATGTATGTATGTATCTTTTTATCTCTATTTCTTTGTGTTTTTTGTAATAATGGCCTTTCAAGCTTTATCATCATTACACAAGAGAGACTATGATAATGTTTACTTCACAGTATTTATTATTTTGTTTCAGGGAATCAGAAATGGGAAGAGTTGGACACTAGATACATTTACCGATAGTTTCATAGGAAGATTAAAGTCATATCCTTTTGGGTTATTTCCAAGATTATATTTGTAGCTTTCTGTTGGGGTAGAGGTGATCATTTGCAAGCTTGGACTGGATCGGGCCTAATCAATTTCTTTTGTGCAATGGACCTAATATAGCAAACCTAAGCCCTACCCGTCCTAATTCTAGCATAACTATTAAAATATTCTATGCATTTAATATTATTTCTCTCTCGTAAACATTTATTTTCGATATACCTCTTATTGGTGGGAAAAATTAAATTTCTATTTCTCTCTCCTATATAGATTTTCAGGGATTTCCTCAAATTTAGAGATTTTCATGTTCTTTTTTTTAATTTTACCATACAATATAACATAGCTGTTGGAGCACAAAACTCTCATCACCAAAATTTCTATTATAGCATAGCTGTTAGAGATGCTCTTATTTTTTTATATTATGATTCACAATTAAGTGGGAACCGGTAAGCATCAAGAATTTTCAATTTTATTTATAAAAGTTAATTAATTATAAAATTATTAACGGGCTGTGCGGGCCTGTCGAATTTTGTTTTGTATCACCGATGCCCTCCCATTAATTTTAACAAGTTGGTTTGGGCCCACTCATTTCTTCAAGAATGTTTGTCCAAACCTGTTTTTCTAGCGAGCCGGACAAGGCAGGTCTAGCGGGCTGTTCCACCCGTGAACAAAAAGGATACCAGCCTGTTAGTTCCTTATCTCTGTGTTATTACATATGCTGTCACAGTGGGTACAAAAGATGTTGCCAAGGTGGTTGGTCTAAAAAGCATAGCTGCATATCGCAGTGGCCTTGAAATTAACACGAACATCACCAGGAAAGAAGCTGAGGAAGGTCTTGCTGAAGTTTTGCTAGGTGAGTTCAATTACAACACATTGTTATACTATCAGTCGCAACAAGTCATCTGACCATTTATCTTCACTCTTAACAGCTGGAAATCCTGTTCGCATCATAAACAAGAACCTTATCGATTATATCTTCGTGCATAGTTTGGAGGTGGCACTGCTTTTTGACTGGCCCATACAGATACACACAGGGTAAAACAAATAAGAAAAAAGTTCTCAACCATTTCACTTTAGCTCCATTCACTTTTTAGAAAATATAAAAAGATTAACGTGCACTTTCTGTCGGCTATTTCTCTTGCTTTTAGCATGTCTTTACTAAATAAAATAGTGCTTATTTCTTATTAGCTTTGGAGACAAAGATTTGGATTTGAGGCAAGCTAATCCCCTCCATCTCCGCAATCTTCTTGAGGATGATAGATTCTTGGACTGTCGAATAGTTCTATTACATGCATCCTACCCTTTTTCAAGGGAAGCATCATATCTGGCATCCATATATACTCAGGTCAAGTTTAGAGGCTAGAAAGGGCAATTTAGTGATTCCAATGTTGATATTAAGATTGTGAGTTTGATCTCTTGGCTCCTAACCGAAGTGGTACAATCAATTTCAGGTGTACCTCGATTTTGGTTTGGCCGTACCGAAGCTTAGTGTCCATGGCATGATATCTTCAGTCAAAGAACTTTTGGAGCTAGCGCCATTAAAGAAGGTGAGGCACATCCACAAAAAGATATTTCTTGCATTTGATTGTGCAATTAATATCCTGGCTTAGAGAAGTTGGAACATTAGGCAGTTAACTGAAAAAATAAAAGATTAATAAGACATGAAAACCGACTTTTAACAAAGTAACCCTAAATATCACAAAGGAGTTTATCACAAGCTAGTTTGACCACACAGATATACATCTCTAAAGCCCTCTTATGGGGTTGGAACAAATAAAGATTTTCGTTCTAAGAAATAACAATAACAAGCAACAAATTGACTAACAACCGCACCAATGTATGAGCACAAGTCTATCCGTAAAAGAAGGCATTATTCCCAAGTTAGTTTGCATAACACGAAATTGAAACCCAACAAAAATTATTGGAGGTGAATCCCTCTTAGGGCTTCGGAATAAAAATAACATCTTTCTATGCTCTACTAGTAAAGGACAACTCCTTAGCATATTTTGCTCGTCCAAATATCTCTCCATGATTTTCTTTTGTGTTGATGTTGGACCACCCATACCATTGCTAATGTTCTCTTGTTGGGCACACCTCCTATTATGCATTCATCAAAAGGTCTTAACTCTTATATTTAGGAGTCCACATCGGCTAGACTTGGACCATTTCTCCTCTATATATGTTGGAACCTCCCTTCTCTTCTCAAGGGTTCTTTTGGAGAGCAATCTAATGGAGTTCCACATTCTCACATCATGTTGGAGACGGCCAAACAATCTCAAGTGGTGTTTAGTCAACCTCTCAACCGGTGAGCCTAAGCTTCTCCTAGATGATCATTTTGAAATTGCAATCCAATCCCTCAAAACATAGCTTCATTAGCTTTCACATTTTTGCCAAATTTGTTTACATATATGTTGTATAGATGGCGTAACATTTCATCAAGCAAGTCATAGCAATTTTCACTACTATCCTAAAGAAATCCCCCTTGTATTTAGATGAAACTCTAGAATCACAAGACACTTCCAAAATTTGGTAGCACTTCATCTACCCTGATCTCGTCCGAAATTTCATTACGATCCCTTCATTTAATTTAAATTAGTGAAGGAATTGTCAGATCCAGGTTATGCTTCATTCGTAATTTCATTGGATTTCCTTTATTTAATGTAATGCATCAAGGAATTGTCAGGCCATTTGCTATTTTTCAGATTAAATATTACTTTCAATTCTATCATTTATTTTTATTTGACATCTTTCTTTAATATGTTGTTTGATTAATCGCTTTTTTTTCTGTATGTATGATGGACTTGTTATGTTAAAGAGAAATGGTATATGCAGGTGATGTTCAGCACTGACGGATGTGCATTTCCTGAAACATTTTACCTAGGTTTGTGAAGCTGGAACTATACCTTTTTCCTAAATGGTGTGTACGCACATACACACATATATATATGTGCATATGTTTTCTTTAAAATGCAAGATTGAATGTAAAAACTTTGTGCAACCATTTCTCATGCCAAGATGAATAAATGGAGGCAGAAAAGTGCTTGCTCTCATAAGGAATCACCAGTCACTGCATTCCATAATGCCAAAGGCCATTGTATACTTAAATTCAAATCTTCTGTTAAAGAGTTACTAAAATAAATTCAGCCTGTTAAAACCATATATTACTTTAGTTGTGAAGAATATAACCACAAGAATTTGAAAAAGATGTTGCTTGTCAGGACCAACTATGCATGTATAAACTTCTTTAAAGTTAAATGAATGTGAAATCAACTTCACATTGATTGCCTTAGCAGGTGCAAAGAGAGCAAGGGAAGTTGTTTTCTCTGTTCTACGTGATGCATGCAATGAGGGTGATCTTTCAATTCCTGAAGCTCTTGAAGCTGTTACTGACATCTTTGCTGAAAATGCGAAAATGTTCTACAAGATCAATAATGCTGTGAAGTCTAGGATTCCTAGACATGTTTCAGATACCTTAGCGAAGTTGGATAATCATGTCAAACAAGAGTTTAACTCTACCCTACAAGATGTTGTGCTTGTGCGCGTTATATGGGTAGATGCTTCTGGACAGCACAGGTGTCGGGTAAGTATTTCGTACATTATATATATATATATATATATACTTACTATATTATAAAGCATTTGACAAAAACTCTTAAAAACCATTTTTTATGCATAAAGTACTGTTTATTGATGCATATTACTTAAAATTCAATATCACAAGTAAATTTTGTGTAAGTACAACTTATTAAAGCTTCATTTTTGAATTTTTGTAACTAACTATAGATTAACATAATCAAAACGGGATAGAGATCTCATTTTAAATATAAAAAATCTAAAATATAATTAGGATAATCATTAGTTATAACAAAATACTTAATTATTATCTTTATAAAAAATTATATTATTAGATGATAAATAAATTACTTCGTCATCAAATCTAAATTAAAGTATAAATAAAATATTGAATTAATGGAATTACACAAAAAATGAGAACTTTAAATAGTAAATTTGATACTAATATCGATATATATTTTTTCCAAATTTTTATGATATCTTTAAATTTATATTTTATTCAAAAATAAAAACATTATCGCTTTCTCAAAACCACAAAAACCGTATTATATCGATAGAGATAAATAATAAAACGTAGCATTAAAATTGAGATCTCGCTATATTATGCGAGTTCCTTTCTAGTGTGTGCATATATATATATATATATATCTAAACATGTAGAAACCATTCAAATGTTGTTGGGAGTTGTTTAACTTAGGATATCAAGAACATGAATACTCATGAGAAGGACTAATTGAGTTTTACTTTGAAGTGCAATTTATGCTTGATAAGTACACAGTCTAATTTGATAGCACATTGATGAACAATCATCTTGAAAATATGTTGGATCTAAGTTGGTGATAGCTAACCACAAGGGGTTAGCTCGGTGGCAATCATCTGGGTTAATAGAAGGGTAGTTCCTTTTACTCCTTTCGATCTCCATTGGGTGCAAAACCCTTGTTGCCATGCCAACCTCCCATAGGGAGGGCTTTCCCGTTCTAGGATTGTGTGGCTGTGGGCCTAGACCACCTGGATTAGTGGCGTCTTCGGGTTTCTGATACCACAATAGGGTGGTGATAGCTTGATGAACTCTCCGATAAAATTTCTACATGAGAGTTAAAGGCCGATGCAGTGAATGGCTCAAGATTCTCTGAATATGAGGCAAACATATGTTGCAGCTAATGCTTTTATTTTAACCTTCATCGAATTTCAACTTTTCCCCTTCCGTTAATGCACTTGCAGAATTTATTTCGGAAGTTCACATTGCAACCCTTATGTTCACTATCTTTTATCACTCCATGCAAACTGAAAGACATTACATGAAAGATTCACACAATAGATTTCTCTCGGGTATTCATATATGAATTTGTTAGAGTCCCACATCGACTAGACTTGGACCATTTCACATCTATATATGTTTGAACCTCCTTTCCCTCATGAAGGGCTCTTTTGGAAATTGATCTAGGGGTTTCACATGTTTTCACATGGTATCAGAGCCAAGGTCTACGACTCTAGGGAGTCGACACTCTGGGGCATTTTATACTCTCCCCATCACCCTCACTTTGGGACAATCTTTGCCTGTTTGTGCCCACTTACCTCTGTTGGAGGGGGAGTGTTAGGGGCTGTTCGTATGTGGCTTAATGGGCTGTATAAGCCTTATAGCTTATTCGCTCAACTATAGAAAGCTGTTCGGTTGGGGCTTATTCACTCGACTAAGAGCTTATTCGGTCAGCTCAAAAACATCACTCCTGTGGCCTCAACCATCAATATTTCCCCAATTACCCTTGATTTATCCTTAACCTTGCTACGGTGAGAACTTTCAACAGCCCCCTAGTCCCTCACTCTATGGCTTCACGGCTTCACGGCTTCACGCTGCCGTCAACTACAACCTTCGACCAGCAACTGACCGCCGATATATTCCTCAGCCTCCAACCGACGTATTCCTCTAGCCCCGACCTACAACCTCGATTTCTTATTTTCTTCTATTGCAAAATCTTCTCGAGTTCGACAGCTCAATTGCTTCCTCCAAAATCTTCGATTTCTTTGCCCAAGTCATATGCAAACCAAGGTCGAGGCATTCAATTACTTTAACCTCCAACACCGTTCTCTCTGGCTTTTAGATCTGTTAAAAACCCAAAATGAATGGGTGTCTTCCTTCAAGAGAATTCATCGAGACACCGTTGAAAGTTCTCCCTAACAACCCAAACTCGAAGAAAACTTGAAGAAAACCTAGATTTGGGTGAAGATGTACCACAGAGGGGCTAGCGGGTGGCCGATGATGGGAGGTGCAGGTGTTGGCACAGGGAGATGGAGGGTTGGTGGGGATGCCATGGAGATGATAAGAAATTGAAATATTTGTTATTTATGAAAAAAACAAATAACAAGGGGTAAAATGGTCATATATATCATTTAGAGTATTTATTCAGCACTGCAACCGAACAACAACTTATCTGTAATCATACAGACAACTTTATCCATATAGGTCTTAACAGAAAATGAATCGAACAGCCCCTTAGAGTCCCATATCGTCTAGACTTGGACCATTTCACATCTATATATGTTGGAACCTACCTTCCCTCAGGGGCTCTTTTGGAGATTATTCTAGGTGTTTCACATACTCTCACATAATTACTTGAGGGGCAATTTATATTCGTCTCACCCCATCACCCACAATTTGAGACAATCTTTGCCCATTTGTGGCCACCTAGCCTCTGTTGCAGGGGGGGTGTTAGGAGTTCCACATTGGCTAGACTTGGACCATTTCACATCTATATATGTTGGAACCTCCCTTCCTTAGTCAAGTGCTCTTTTGGAGATCAATCTAGGGGTTTCACATATTCTCACAGAATTACTTGAGAAGTCAAATTTGTGCTTCACTTGGCACCTAAGAGTTCTTTTAGTTTAGTTCACTAATTTTAGTCCACCTTTTTTCTTTATATAATTCTATCCATGTTAGAACCTTGATTTTCATCCCGCCTTTTTAAATTTTTGATGGGTTCCAGGTTTAGCATTCCCAACTACTTTTGCAGAAAAAGGCTTGTTGTCGTTCATCTCATTTCAAATGCATACTTTTGACTCTTGCAAGGAAAAGCATTGGGTTTTCGTTTTTTTGGCTGGATGTAATCTAAAAGCCGTTGGGTTTCGATCCATCATTCTCAGGTTGTTCCGCAAAAACGCTTCGATAATTTTGTCAAGGAGAATGGCTTAGGTCTAACCTGTGCTGCTATGGGTTTGACTTCAGCAATGGATTGTCCAGCTGATGGGACCAACCTGACAGGAACTGGTGAGATCAGATTGATACCTGATTTATCAACGAGATGCAGAATTCCATGGTAAGCATCGATTTGGAAACAGTTACACTAGAATAGCATACTTGAGTTTATATTCCTTCTTACTCTCTTTTATTGAGAAGTTCCAGTTTCACCTTTGCATTCTGAAAATGTTGGTCACCATATTACATATGTGTTGACAACAATCTGTGATAATTAATCTCCTTAAATACAGAGGGATATTTGGTTTTATGTTTTTGCTATTATTTTGGTGGCTTGAATCATTTCATGGTGGATGTATTACACATAGGGAAATAAGGAGTCCCAAGAAAGAGGTTAATCACAAACTCCAGGAAGATCCTACCCAAAACATCTATTGTGTGTTGGAAGGCCCTTTAAGCACTATTCATCATGTAGGATATCTTAAAGTTAACGTGTATCTGTGTATATATATATATATATATATTTATATACATGTATGTCAATGTACATCTATTAGATAGTTAATTTGTGCTCCGACTACTGAGTAGTGTTTGTGGGGCTCACATGCAACATGCTGGGCACATTTCATAGACCAACAAGGCATTCTGTCCTTGAGTTGTGATGGGCTTTCCACAAGCAATTATCCTTTTGTGGGATTCCAAATTCTATATTTTCTACATAAAGAGGGACCACATATGTTGTAACCATCTCCAACTCAAAACAAAGAAAGGAAAAAGAGAAAAAAGTTTTGACTACCTGTTTTTAATTGATATAATCATCTCTCTACAGGGTAATGCAGGAAGAGATGGTTTTGGCTGACATGCACTCAAAACCGGGTCAAGTGTGGGAGTATTGCCCAAGAGAAACACTAAGAAGAGTTTCAAAAGTTCTGAAAGAGGAATTTAACTTGGTATAATAAAATGATATATTCATTAAGCGCGATATATATTGTTGATTTCTCTCTGGGAATCCCTGTATATTGACTTGACATGTTATTCAGCTCTAACCCTAGTCATGCATGGTGTTGTGTTTATGCGTTCAGCTTTCTTCCTGCATTTTTTACTCTGTATAATTTGAATTTTTCAATCTTCTTGACATGTTCATGTTGATGCACCTGTAGCACAATAGGTGCTGTTATGGACACCATTCACTGTTACACCCTTTGGCCCCCACAAACTTTGAAATGAGATCCTGACCGGGTACTTACATTTGAATGCCTTTGATCCAGGTGATGAATGCTGGATTTGAAAACGAATTCTATCTGTTAAAGAGTTGTTTAAGGTATTATGCAATTGTCTTGATGATTACTAAGTATTTTGAGTTTTAAGTCTACATTTTTTCATATGATTTGTTTCATCTGAATACAATTACGTAGGGATGGTCATGAAGAATGGGTTCCATTTGACTCGTCACGTTATTGTGCTACATCTGCATTTGATCTTGCTTCTCCTATATTTCATGAAGTTGTTAATGCGCTACAGTTTTTGAATATTGATGCGGAACAGGTAATGCCAGAACTTCCATTTTGTGGGCACTTGTTATGGAAAAAATAGATGCCTGGAAGTCATAGTAACTTGTCACAACTCTTACAATATATTCTTATCCCTTTTTAATCCAAAAAATATGTGTATATGTAAACACATTATTTCTTAGATAACCAAATTTTTGATCTTAAAATCATCATATTAGGACTCTATGGAATAATGGGACAATATGTGTATCTTAGTGGTAGTGTTTTAGCAAGGTCTCAGTAGGTGAAGGGTCCTTGTGTAATTATTTTACCTATTTATATGATTACGTTTTATTCAATGAAAAAGATTTCACCTCAATTGAGGTTTGATACTCTTAGAGGCATCCCTTTACTACAATTAGAATAAAGTTACCAAAACAAGTTATTAATCCAATATCTATTTGAGTCTAACACGAGAAGTGGTAAACCTATGAATTACTTAATTGCATGGTATTGATGGTATTTGCGTCATGTTTGGCAACAACTTGGGAAAGCACTCACTTTATACTTTTGAAATGTTTGGAATACATACTTAAACTTCTGAAAGAGTAACAACCTTATGGAGGTGGGAGGCAATCTTTCAGAACTCCCCGAAGTTCATAGGAGATTGCTTTCTATGGATATTAAAATATCTAAGATTTATAGGCCACAATATCAATATATCATTATAATAATTAAAGATTCTTAAGACCTTTGGCTCAAACTGTTGGGATAAAGCCTGAGATGAGTTCTGCTAATTGTTTTTGGGAAAAGGCCAAACTGGCCAAACTTCTCTATGAAAGGTATTCGGGAGAACATACTTCTATTGTTGTACAAAATATGGACCAAGTAGTTGATATCCATTTTTTCTATAAGCATAAATAAACATACCCTTCCGTGGCTACTTTTCTCTTTGAGTTCGGGGGTTTGTATGCTACATGCACGAGCGTCAAACTCAAAGTGCAAGAAAAGCGAGGGAAGGGGGACGGAAAGAGAACTATGAAATTTGCTAGTTTGACGTTTGTTTGTTTGGTACTGCAGCTACATGCAGAGGCTGGTAATGGTCAGTTTGAAATTGCATTGCGTTACACAACTTGTACCAATGCTGCAGATAACTTGATTTATGCCCGTGAAGTAATTAGAGCTGTTGCAAGGAAACATGGGTTGCTAGCAACTTTTGTGCCAAAGTAGGTATTATCTGATTGAAAGCATCAGAGCTGTTACATGATAGTAGCCTTTACATTCCAGTTGTATAACTTCCTGCCCATGAAATATTCTTAAGCTGTTGCCTGCAGATGCTTTCAATTTCTAAATGCTTATTTTTGGTCCAATTAGGTACACATTAGATGACATTGGTTCTGGTTCTCATGTGCATATTAGTTTGTCCCAAAATGGGCAAAATGTATTTGCAGCATCTGATGGGGCCTCACGCCATGGAATGTCCAGAACTGGGGAGGAGTTTATGGCTGGTGTTCTACACCATCTTCCATCACTTCTGGCTTTTACAGCACCAATCCCAAACAGGTAATAAGTTTCACTTTTGACTTTTGTTGCTGATAGTGTGAGGAATGTGCAACTGCATTCACCTCCAGTAAATATAAGTTGGTTAACGGAGTGCTTCATGTGATCGATTTTTACCTTTCGCGGCATTGATCGAGTTTGTATTAGTGGTTTTCCTTTTTGGGCTGTAATGTGATGATTGGATCAACTAGTGGAAGAAAGAGAAATAAAATGATGTATGTTTGATGAAATGATGATAGAAAATATGAATGACTTTGTGAGCCAGAGTGCATCCGAATCCGGATAAGATAGGTAAGAAGTGTCCATATATTTTGGTTCCTTTAACAAGAAAATGGGAGATGGTGTTATCCAAGAAAATTTTGTAAATTGAGACTTGGAAGTATAGACAACAAGAGGCCATCGACTATAGTTGTTTTATGTTTCTTGTTATTTTTTAAGTTTGTAACTAGATTCATGGAGCATTTTCTTGTTATCATTGAAATGAAAGGTAACAACACACACACAAACATATATATATATATATACAAATTTAAGTAACCTAAATAAGGAAACCTAATACTAAAGCAAGAAAGTAATACTCTAAAGATAATGAATCTAACATTCCCCCTCAAGTTGGAGCGAATATGTTAATCATGTCCAACTTGTTTCAAATAAAATATGTTTGCATTATTGGCGTATGCTTCGTGATAATGTTAGCAAGATGGTGTTGTGGTGCTCGTCCCTAATGTGTGTAGGTTGGATCGATGAGGATCTGTCCGTGTTACCACAACATGGTCTTTGATTAGATGACAATCAACCTTAGTGTGTTTCCTTGGAAAAGCAATGCTCGGGTAGTGTTAAGTAAATGACCATTTTTCTTTTCAGCTAGCCATTTTGTTGGGGTGTGTTAACACATGAAGAATCATGGGTAATGCCTTGTGATTGAAAGTAGGGTGATAAAATCTGGTTGAAATAGTCCTTGGCATTGTCGTTCCTAAAACTTTTTAATTTGACCCCAAACTGGTTTTGAATCATTGAGTGGGAGTTAGGTATAACAGTGCTAACTTCAGATTTGTGTTTAAGAAGGAAGGGCCATGTAACCCGAGTGCAATCATTAATTAGGGATACAAACCAACGAGCCCTAGCACATTAGGTATGTTAGAAGGTCCCCATATGTCACTGAATTAACTGGAATGGAAGAGAGCTCCTTTATTACTCATAGGAAAAGAAACATGAGTATGTTTGGCTAATTCGCAAATATCACAATGAAATTCAGAAATATCTAATCCTTAAAATGGGTGACCTAGACGCAGAGATTGTATCTTTATTAAATGAACTGAGAAAGTATGAGGTGGAACGTTGCTTTTCTGGGAAGATTCAAGATGATAAAGGTCATTCCTTTCCTTAGCAAGTCCAATCCTCTTCCTCAAGTCTTGTTCCTGAAAATCACAATATGAAGAGGAAAAAATAGCACAACATTCAAGATCATGGGTGAGTTTTTGGATTGGAACAAGGCTGACTGACAGTTTTGGTACATGTAAGACATTTTTAAGACAAGGTTGGGTGTGATATACATATATATATATATATATATATATCTCCAAAGCCTGCAACAGTTGCTAATGAGCCATTGGATATTGTAATCTTTCGGTTGCTAGGGCATGGAGTGTAATTATAAAAAAGTTGGAAGAAGGTGTCATATGATCAATGGCACCAGAATCTATTATCCATGAGTTGACAAGATTATTACTCAAGGCATTCAGACAATAAGGAAAAGGTGGTTTACTTGAAAGAGTTAAAGAACAAGTTCCTGATGACCTTTCAAGACAACCCAAAAAATTCTTTAACCTCTCAATTTCTTCATTGCTGAACTCTTCTCTTGCTGAATTCTCCTCCGGTTTGGATTGCTCAAAAATGTGCTTGATCTCTGCTGCCTTCATTGAGGCTTTTGTTGCCTCCCATGGGTTCCCCATTCACGATTCTGTTGTCCACCACGATTTCCCCATTCTCTGCTGGGTGGGTATGGGTTCCCATTTAATTTCCAGCAATGTTCTTTTGAGTGTCTTGGTTTATTGCAGTAAGTGCACCAAAGACTATCTCTGTTCTCCTGAGTTTCCTTACCCCCGAACTTGGACAGATCTCTCCTGTCCTCCTCTTGTTGATTGGTCCTTGTTGCTAGGGCTGATCCGTCCATAGCTTGTGGTTCAAGCATGACATTCCTTCTGTTTTCTTCTATTCTGATCAAAGAGATCACTTCTTCAAGTGATGGTGTGTCTTCTTTACCAAGTATTTGAATCCTGACTTGATCAAATTCAGGATTAACCAGCCAAAAAATCATAGACTCGGTCTTTTTCAATGAAACTTGTTAAGATAGTTGCATCTGTAAGGCACTTCATCTCAAGAACTCGATAATGATCAAGTTCCTGCCACAGATTTTGCAATATATTTGCATATTCAGTGACAGATTTGTTTCCTTGCTTTGTGGCTGAGGTTGTAACCTTGATCTGGTATACTTGAGCCGCATCACGAGCCTTCGAATAAGTGCGGCGAACAAACTCCCATATCTCTTTTGCAGTGGAGAGAAACATGCATTTGTCACTGATCATTGGGTCCATAGATTCCCATAGCCATGACATTATCATGGAATCTTCCTCGTCCCAAGACCTGCTTCAGTGCGGTGTTTGAGTCTCCCTTTGCTTTTCAGGTATGTTCGGACAAATTGAGACCACTTGAGATAGTTTTTGTCATTGAGCCTATAGGGTGCCTGAATATTCTGCTACTCCAATTTTTTGGACATAATTGGACTCATCGGAGGATTTAACAATGGTGGTGTCATTATTTGTGGGTTTGTCATGATGAAGGAAAGGGAATTGCAAAAGAAAATAAAAAGGTCGTTCCATCAAAGGAATTACAACAATTAAGGCTATTCGATCAGAAACACTTGCAACGATAAAGGTTGCACACTGGGAAGTGAGAAGAACAATTAAGGCTGTTCGATCAGAAACACTTGCAATGATAAAGGTTGCACACTGGGAAGTGGGAAGAGCAATTAAGGGTGAAATAAAATAGAACAACGGTTTTAGATTTCTGAGAGAAACCTAAAGCTCTGATACCATGACAAGAAAGATGAATTGAATAATGATTTGCTGTCTATCCTTTGATTATACAAGGCCCTATAGGGTATTTACAGGAGATAAAGGTAAACTAAATCAAGAAAATCAAGGAAAAGATACAGAAAAGATAACGATAAAGAAGGTAACAATATCCCATAATTATAGAAACTATATTCTGTTGAGAATGATACGTATTTCCTCCTGAATGGTAACTGCATTTTGGCATAAATTCTGGAAGACTAATCGGAAGCAATTAATAGGGGAAGAYAAAAGTCTTCTAATATTTCGGTTATTATCTCAATTCATGGAGAATAGTTGTTTTACCTTCAAATATATATTCTCCATTCATTCATAAGAAAAAGTAGTATTGAAGGAGAGCCAGAGAAGAGACGATAGAAAGATTGAGATACTTATAAACTCTTGTAACTTCCTCATTTTTCTCATATAGTGATATCATCGGTTGTGCCTGTGGTTTTTTCCCGCAAGGGTTTTTCCACGTAAAATCTTGGTGTTCTCGTTTTATTTCCTTTATTATCGTCGATTAATTATTACAAGAGGTATCAAAGCCTACGTTGTTTTCTTAATACCCATTTTTTTTTTCCAATCTATTGGGTTTTATATCGACATGGCTACCTTGAAATATGACCTTCCATTGTTGGATCGAGATACAAGATTTTCATTATGGCAAGTAAAGATGCGAGCTGTATTGGCTCAATTGGATCTTGATGATGCTTTGTTGAACCGAGACAAAATGCCTGTGGCTTGGTCAGATGAGAAGGACCATAAAGATCGTAAGGCTCTCTCTCATATCCATCTTCATTTATCCAACAATATTTTGCAGGAAGTTCTGAAAGAAACTACTGCAGCTTCTTTATGGCTAAAGCTAGAACAAATTTGTATGACAAAAGATCTCACAAGTAAGATGCATCTTAAACAAAAATTATTTTCGCTTAAGATGCAAGAAGGTGGATCGTTGT